ATTTTTTCCTTAGTTAAACAAAGATTAAACGACCAGTTTATTCAGAATTTAATATACTAAAAAGACACGTTTGATAGTGTTCTCTCATAGATTACAAGTAGAAGCTGGTAGGTGGACCAAACCTACCAGAATACCCTTAAACGATAGACAATGTTTAATATGCAATACTCTTGAAGATGAATATGATTTTGATTTTGAATGCTCATTTTATACAGAATTAAGAAACTCTTAACGAACAGACCAAATAAGTATAAATTTATAGAATCATTTAATTCTGAAAATAAATAATTATAAGAAACCTTTGAATAAGAATATTTGTTGAAAATCTTTTAAACTTAGAAATTCTATCAGTTAATAATGTGTTGTAATTAGAATTATTTTTGTTAATACCATAAGTAGAAACAAATAATAACATAGAGCCTAAGTATACTGATATTATGACATAACTGATCTCATTTCATGAGAATTTACGGTTGAATTTTCTGAAAAGAAGTAAAATATCTTAATTCTATGAACTATGCATACTATTTAAGTCATAACATATTTTTAGAAGATGATTGATTTTTTTTGGTAACTTTTAATAATTCATAATTTTCTTTTGCCACTATGGCGAAGGAGCACATGAATAATGTTAAAAATACATTGTGTGGTATGCATCTTTATTTCTTTGTATGTGATGAGCTTCTTTAACATCATATCAATGAACAAACAAAAACACTTCGTTATAGATTGTGTGTTCACTCATAGTACAGCTTATTTCGTTATAGATACAATAATTAAGGTAGAGAAAAAGTATCTCCCTAATAGAAATAATTACAAAATGTTTACCTTTTATTGTCTACAGGCATTAGTGAAATGTCAGTTATGCATGTATCTCCCTTACAAGATATAATAATTATTTGAATAGCCGTTTGAAGGGGTTCTATAATATATTCATAATATTTATAACGTTGGTTTAAACGATATTTATTTTTAATAAGTTGTTAACATAATTTAGCACATACCCGTACCGTTTTTGCGACTATATGTAAATATGGTATTGCACGGCCGTGCACGTATTTTGACGTGGCGTCATTTGCGTTATACAAACATAGCGTTAAATGTTAGCGTTGCTCCATAGGCGCATCAATGAAAAATTGTTCTTTTTCACTTCAAACGGTCTTGAATAAATAGAATATTAAATTCGTGTACGTTCATCAATGAATTTATTGAACTCGTTGAATAAAATAATATTACGCTCGCCAGAGGCTCGCATATTTTGATTTTATTCAGCTCGTTCAATAAATTCAGTATTGAGGGATTGAAAATTAAAAGAAAACTACAATGTATACAGAAATAAATAAGTGTACTTTACAGGTAATCTATCAGAGAAGAGGAAAAAGCTAGAAGCTATTAATGATCAGTTATAATAATAATTATACAACGATATGTAAAAATATGTAAAGATCCCATATGTAGTAGTTAAGGGTGTAACATACAGTTAACTGGAAAAAATACATATCCGTTTCCTTCCAACACATCCTTTTAAGTCTGACAGTGTTTTGTTTTTTCACTGTATTTTACTGTCGAATAAAGGCTGTTTCCCCTAGCCCAAAATAGGTATAGTTTCTCCTAAAAATGCCAATATTTTCCCCTAAAATGACTCGTACTTTTCCTCACCAGAACCATGACTTAACAGCATCTGACTTATATCATCTAGAAGACAGAAATATGTCCCTGCTATATACCATGCAAATTAAATTGAATTGAAATAAAAAAAAAAATATATATTTATAAAATATGTGGGTAAATTCCATTTTCAGTTGTTGGAATTTGATTTCAGGTTTTCCCGCTTTTCTGATTTATTGCGCTATATTTCCCCATTCAGAAAGCCACAGGTTATTTTGAAAATTGGAAAAAATCATTGTTAGAAAAAAAATACATGTTTTATTTATTTTGAATACGATTTAAAATGAAACATATATATTTTTTTATAGAAACATTTTCCAAAACTTTATCAGGGATATATTTCTAAATTTATAGAGTTATGGCGGAAATTTCTACAAGTTCTTGTGTGTAGAAATAAATATAAGGTCCATATATTGTGAACAGTTAATTGGAGGTTACTAGAGGATTTGCCTTAAATACTGTGTAACACAAACATCCAACATTTAAAACACAATTTACCGTGAAACATGTAACGGGCATTTTGAAAAAAAATACGGTCGATATAAGTTGTTATTTTTCACTTATTTACAAATGGATTTTGATATTTCTTACCATGAATAAGTGTTTATTACCAGGTAGGAATTGGATGTAAGCATATTCTTTTATTTTATACCTGACCCATCTGTCATGGACAGTGCATTCGAGATAAGAATAATTTTGCAAATTTAAATGATTTTCAAAATATTCGGAATAAGGTCCAATAGTGACATAAATAGAAAATGACATGTGAGCAGGAATGATTTGGCAAGGTATCCATCATGAGCGCATTTTTGCGAGGACCTTTTTAATTGCTGTATTTACGTGTACCATACTTGCAATGTCATCATTAGCTTATTGCCATATCAAATGGTGTAAAGAATAAAATACCCCTAATTTGACAATGTAGTTTTGAATTAAAAAAAATAAAACAATGAACATCTGACTAAATAAAATCAAAAGTGAAAAATTGTTTATATTAAAGATGAATATTTATAATAAAATGAAAGATAAATGTACTCACCGTATGGACTTCTTGGGCACCTAAGCGGAGTATTTTTTATATTTTCCAAGCTCACTTTATTTTTTCTACTTTCCTCGTTGACACTCTGAATGAAATTAACTTGTGATGTTCTTCAAATTTTCACAATTTGTAACAGATGTCTTATGGTGACGTGGTTTGGTTAAAACTTTGGCCTATGAAATGTATTGATATCTAAAAAAATAATGCATAATAATGAGATACTAAAAATCTTGTCAAAACATCGACAAATGTTACAATATCTACGTCAGGTCTTAATTACTTTCCAGTAGAAATTCGAATTTCCATCAAAAACAACAGTTGTTACCGGGCAGGTCAGTAACTCTGTTTGATCGTTAATAAAGTATATAGACGAGTTAATTGACAACAATAAAATCCTATTTCATTTCAAACATAACATATATTTTTTCACTGATTAAAAACGGATAATATAGTGTCCCACTTGAAAGTTGAAACAACGTTTAATTGACATTGTATCGATCTTGCTTTGGTTTGCTTTGAAACAGTATGTTGATAGTAAAAAAAATCAATATCAACGCTTATATTATTAGTTATAAAGATTTTTTTTCACAGGTTATATGGCCTTATTTAAACGGCTGTTAGGAAATATAGTCCGAGCCGTTAGCCGTTATATTGCAAACAACCGTTTATATACGGTCGTATAACCTGTCAATAATATTTATAACGAAATCCTTTTTGTGCAGAATTTGCGACTCTGTATAAAAAAAAATGGTATTGCACGGCCGTGCATATATTTGACGTGACGTCATACAAACATAGCGTAAAGACGCTAAATGTTAGCGTTAAACTATAGGCGCGTCAATGAAAAATTATTCTCCCTTCACTTTAAACGGTCTTTGTTTTGGGTATGTGATAAAAAGAATATTAAATTCGTGCAAGTTCATTACTGAATTTATTGAACTCGTTGAATAAAATAATATTATACTAGTACTCGCCAGAGGATCGCATAATATAATTTTATTTAACTCGTGCAATAAATTCAGTATTGAACTTACACTCATTCAATATCCTCTGTATATTTTATGTTGACGAACAACAGATGGTTTATATTTTTATTTATTTTTTATCGTTAGTTTAGTTACCCCATACCACGTCAACATAAAGTTGTAGCTGACTCTTTTATCGGAAGGCTAAGACAATTTTACGTAAAAAAATCATAGTTGCTGTTTTCAATGGATTGAGAGCAACAAGACAGGTCTTTGTCCAAGCATGCATTCGTTTGAGGTCTATGTTAAGTTAGCTGCGGAATGTGGGTTATCTACGACTATAAACAAACGTGTATCATCTGCAAGTTTGATGTAAAAAGACACTCCGCTAACAATATCATTAACGTAAACAAGGAACAAAAAAGGACCAATGATTGAGCTATGAAGGATATCTGCAGAAAATGGTGCTCATGTAGAGGAAATATTTTGAATTGAACTCTTTGTCTCCCAGAATACAAATACAAATAAGAGGACAACCATTGAAGAAGTGATCCCTATACACATAAAGAAGAAATTTTGTTGAGGAAATCATGACGCTAAACGCGATCATAAACTTTTTAAATGTCGCAAAATATAGTCCTAACCTCTTTAACTTGGTCAAGGGCTTAACAAATATCGTTGTAAAAGTACATTTAATGATTAGCTTAAGTCTAACCTCTTATAAAACTTGATTGTGGAGGGGTAAGCATTTTTTACTTACAAACTGATTACGCAACTGCATCAGTTTTCCTATACAACTTTACAATGAGATAGGACGGTTTTTTAAGGGACTAGGGTCTGCCCGATTTTCTAGAAATTGGAGTTACATTAGCGAGTTTTAATGATGCAGGAAAAGAAGAACTAATAAATTTGTTAAAGTATGCGGCAAGTGGTCTTGCTAGGTCTCGAAGAAGTTTGGGATGTAAATGGTCGGGTCACATGATTTAGCTATTATAGTCTGGTCTATGGAAGAAATAGACAAGAACATCTTGTGGCGTGATATTTATGTTTATATGACTAGTGAATTTGTTCCCAATTTTCCGTCCGTGCCACCACTGTTGGTTAAGATATGTGTTGTATCTAATGGTACCCGCATATTTTTCCTACCATTTACATACAATTGATGTCGAAAACAATTTTAGCAAATGTCTGTTTAGACAGATGTAGGTTGACTTGTTTTATTAATACATAATTATACAATCACTTTTTTACTCTTTTTTCCAATAACTCTTATACCATGTCATATATTCTGGTAAAGAAAACACGTTGCATAAAACAAAAAGAGGTCCGAGTTTTTCGTAAGAAATTTAATATTTCGTCAACTTATACACAAACACCAGGAAGAACTACTGTATAGCTTTCCAGTCCAATCTGAAGCCGGTGTATTCATCAGAGTCGTCGGATGTGAATGTCACATAAGCATGATCTCCGGGTACTGTTAACTGTCCTGGTGAGACGTTTCCACAGAACGGACCTTTAAAAAGATAGGCATCAGGCATGTATTAATTTGTGTATCTATGCTTGATTATTTAATGTATGTATACTTTCTTGAATGAATGTTTCTCAGTTTACTTCAAATTGGTGGAGATACACTTGTGCAAATTATTTTAAGTTCGGGTGTTAAATGTTTTGTACACGACTATGTGGGACAGCCTTCGTTTATTCAAAAATATGATAGATAGAACATGAAAAACTAATTCGCTGTGTTTCTTGAGCTTTGAATGAAATTTTCTCCCAGGGTCCTGTATTAAGTATTCTTACTTTTTGATACTTTTTTTGCAAAAAAATGTAATCTTATACTTTATTGCTTGCTAGTGTTTTTTATCAGCAAAGTTTTTTTTCTTCACGCAAAATAACCAAAATAATGTTTTACACTTATTATTATTATTATAAGCGTTTAAGCCTAGGTAGTATATTATATTCCAATACAATAGTAATATTATAAAATTGTGTTTTACACCTCGGGCCACAGTTAAATTCGTGAACTAAACTAGTGTTAAAAAATGAATAAAATAACAAATTAACCATGTGCGGATGCCATGCCGTCACCACTGATCTTAACAAAGTCGAAATCACATGAAGTGTCGGGCTCAATATGAAATTGGTCATCAAATTTGAATGCTATACTCTGTAAAATATATATATATAATTATATACATGTATATATATATCTATTGATATAAATATACAAGCAAAAAGAATTGTCAATAACTTTACAGTTATTTTTTTTATCTTAACTATAATATAAATGTTATTCTTGCTTGTTTTAATTATTTCCTCGCTTACTGTAAATATGAGAACATGTGTTTTATCGTGTCCGGTCAGTTATATAGCCCGTTTGAAAGACAAAGTTGAAAATGAATGAGGTAGAATAAAATTATGTCATAAATTTGTTTACTGAGCCCTTTTTAGATTTTATTTATGTTTGAAAGATCTGTAAATGTATATATTTCAAAACTTCAAAACCAAACCATTCTGGAACCAGCTTTAACATTAATTATTTTTTTTTAGAATAAAAGAAATTCAGTCAAATCAGCAGTCAAGTATCAATGCATATATCTCTCCCTACATGACCATAACCTGTCCGATTCGTCTTACCAGATTTGTGGACAACAATAAGAATTTCACCACAACGTTCTTATTAACAAAAATAACACATGCTTATGTTTGTGGTTAAATCAAAATTGGTATTTATATAAAATGTAAGAGAAGGGACCTGCACTTTGTGGACATTACAACGTTATAATAACATGGTACTGATACTTAATATATAAAGACAGATATTTATTTGTACCTTGGTTCCTGGTGGAGCTAGTACAATGTATGTACAATGAGTGTCACTCGGGTACGACGAGGGGAAACCAGGGCTAGTGATGGTACCAGCAGATCCTGTGATGTTTTGATTCCCACAATTTGAAGATCCTGTTTAAAAGTAATAGTTTCATATCAACATTATCGAGATAATGGATTACAATCAGAAAATATTGGCACAATCTTACATTCGCTATCTTGTGTTTGTTTGGAGTTACGGCGAACAGACATAGTATTGGTCCCAAAAACAATCACTGTCTGTATGATGATAGATTGTATATATAATTACAACAGTGCCCAGACCACGTGACTATCTTTGATCTGCGTTTGGCAAAAACCTCAACTAATGTACAAATCACTGCCTTGACATGAAAATGTAAAGCCCGCCCATTTTTAGTGACTAACCCCTACATAAAATGTTTCTGAAGTAAATTTTTCGTAAAGTGAAACAACATGTTTGAACCGTCTAAGATGCAGGCATTTTTACTTTATAGTCTATTACGGTTTTAGTCCTAGCCACAGTCGTAAAAGTCGAAGCTTTGATGGTCCTCGTAGCTGTTCTCGTAGTATTGAGTATAAAAAGTCTTATTTTCGGTGTGAGCTGTATTCGGGCTATATATGTCGTACTGACAATGAATGATACCTGAATAAATTAGTTTACTATATTAGTATAATATGACTAGAACGTCTCGATTTAGATCTAACAATTGCATAATGTTTGCTTATTTGTAATTTTCTCGACACAATAAAGGTTAAAAGGTTATAACGTAATTTTCCTTATCAGACTTTTAATCTATACAAATACATATGTTGAAGTTTTACTCTTAGCGCGGTCTGTAATCTTAACTAAGAAAGAAAAATAATTTATCTACCTTCTAATAAAGAAGGCATTAATTGTACTTCATATACAAAACCCACCTCTTACAATACGGAACAAGAAATAATGTCATGCGTTTCATGCTCCAAAATACTTGAATTTATACCGAATAACGCCCCCGTTTTCCGTTATTCACTTATCTCCTAGTTTCACTTTGTCCTGAACAATATTTTGATGAAAATACTACCAATATCATAATTGTCACTGGGTTTATTTTCTTGGCCTCTTCAAATTATCAAAGTATATCATTGAATTATATATTTTATAAATGAAGGACATTACCAGTTCCGAGACAGTTAGTTGGTAATTCATCTGAATTATCGTTACAATCGTCATCTCCGTCACATAGCCAGTCACGTGATATACACGTCCTATCCGGGCATCGCCACTCATCTGCGGCACCTAATTATCATATAATTTTATGTATATCATTACGATGCCCTGCTATAATTATTTTAAGTGTTTTATTTGCCGCACACATCCTTATAAAAGATATGTTTTACGTCTTGGAAATATCATTTAAAGGTAGATGAAATGAAATAAGTAGACGATTCACAACGCGAAATTTAAGAATGCCATGAATTATTAAGTGCTAACGAATTAATAAAGCATAATTATGGTATTTTAAGTAAAAAAATTCACTGTAAGTAAGTTATTCTTCTACTGATGATGACAAACACTGCATTTTGTGGCAATTGTAATTTCAGCTGTTGTAATGAATTTTCATTTGCTTTCTATGAAACACCGGACTTGTTTCAAAGTAACTTTTACCATATGTTATGTCATTTTGCCTTGTACAAATACGATTGATGACGCGTAATTTAAAGAAAAAATGTTGTTGTCTTATATTAAAAATTGGTCTTTGGCAAAGGTTAAAAGTGACATTATGCTCATATTTTCATCGTCAAGTTGAACTAAATTGACATCATATTTAGAAAGATTAACTGTCATAATGATGATTGACCAACAGTCGATATTGGAAAACGTTTTTGATAGAATATATACCCTGCCTTAAATATAAAAAAGACTGCCCCACTTTTTTTATAAATTGACTGTTCAGGTAAATTCTAATAGATATATAGAGAAATTTTCTTTGGGCCATGTGTGTAATTTATGGTTCATGTGAAGTAAATTATACAATTGAAAGAGATCTGACAAAATGTAAACTTGTTCTGACTTTTACACTGTTCACTCACTATATACCCTTGTATGGGCGTAATGTCACTTTAACTGTAGACCATTATTGTAAATTTTAAGCAATACTGTTGAATTCTGGTTTTAAATGTTTTTACAAGTATAACCGAATACCCTTGTATGGGCGTAATGTCACTTTAACTGTAGACCATTATTGTAAATTTTAAGCAATACTGTTGAATTCTAGTTTTAAATGTTTTTACAGGTATAAGCCAATAACATGGCCAACAATAAACATTTGTATAAGTTCATATTTAGCAAACAACAGTTAAACGCTGTGACATAATCTGTCAAAGTCGTTAAAACGAACTTGTTATAGAGCACAATTAGAGAAAAAATTATTCATAACTTTACAACAGCCGTGCTTATTGTTTACATAAACACCTTGATTGTTCAAAATTGCTCTTACAAAGTCGCATTTGGCAATGGTAGAAAACTACGTCATCGCGCACATGCAAAATGCTCCCGATGTTTACACAAACGAACAATCCGATTGGGAGCATTTTGCAGGTGCGCGATGACGTACATGTAGTAGCCTGTCATTGTATGAATGGCTATATAAAAGAACAAACTAGCATACATCCAGTATTTGATCCTCCTGTACAACCTTGCTCATCACTGTCATCACCACAATCATCATCATTATCACATCTGTACGACATATCAATACATTTACCGTTTGCGCATTCGAATTGTGTATGGTGACAAGAGTCTGAAATGGAAAAAAAAAACTTTTCTTAAAAAAATACTGAAAGTTAAAAATTCTCACGTTTTTAATGTTTTAAAAATTAAAAGTTTAAGATATATTATGCTAAATTTGATAAAAAAACTATCGGTAATTGCTACACAGTCTCTTTGTAAATATTGACTTAACATGTATTGACTCACACAAAGTAGATAATTTATATTTAAAATTTTACGCACAATATGAATATATAACGTCATTAAAAACAGCCATTTTTTTAAAGAAAAGACTAACTTTACTTGACATTTTATAGAGAAAGCTGCTTCCCATACCTAGAATATTCATTGTTTCATTTTTAATTCAGACATATTCATTCAGAATTTCATAGGTTTAATTAAACTATTTTACTCGAGGAAGAGCATACTGTATCTGTAATTAAGAAAATGATTCATTTGGGATGCCTATCCAGGTATGTTATTAAGGTCTCTATTTTGACAATGAGTTAAAATATTAAACACCCAGGACCGGGTTGACACTAACCAATGTTTTAAACAACCGGATCCTGGTCTCTTAAAGATTTAAAGTAAAACATTTGCAATGTATGTGCCTTGGTTTAGATAAAATTGAAACTGAAACGATTTCAGTATTGTAAGATACAAATAAATATTTCACCGATTACAGTCAGATATAACAATACAATCTTATGTATATGTGTGACTGCACTGTTGAAAATTGAGTACCGATAAAGCCGGTGCAGTGGACGTGAGGGATGTTGCAAATTTTCATTATCCCTCATGTACAGACTCAGTCAAACCGAGTCTGCAATTTTCATGTAATTTTGTTGGTTTTAATGCTTCCGGGGGATTACCTTTTTCCAGATGTTCATACTCGGGAATGTTATCTACGTGTACTATTTCCCTTGATTATAAATATAATACATTAAGTATACAACATAAATGATGCAATAGTCACACCAACACTATAGAGGTCATATGACGACTTTCCAGCTTTTGCTTGGGGGGGGGGGGAAAGGGAAGATGTCAACTGAACTAGGTATTATTGAATTATCATGGTACATGTGTTTGTGTTTAAAACAACTGAAATACTGTTTGAAATCAAAATTAATTTTGTAATGGTACAAATAAAAAAAATCTAACTTTGAATATTGTAAAGCTTTTCCAAAGAGAGTTCTAGTATTTATTATCTACGCAATTTCAAACTAACCTTTTATTGCCTGGTATTACTTTTACATGATGTTATTTTGTGTTACATCAATATGGGTCAATGAATGTTATTTTAAATGACTGCTCTACATTGTTACTTGTAAAAACTTACGTATAACTTGCGTGGTGAAATTGTAGAACAGCTTGAACCCCTGGAGCTGAGTGCTGTCGTCGGTAATTAGCTGCATTGTTAGGAACCGTTGAGTCGAGGAGATTGGGTTGAATATATTTCCACAATATTTACCAAGGCTCGGTGAGTGAGTTGAGTTTCCATCGAAAATCTCTAAGTAATCATATGCACATCTGGTGTAATAAAGAAGATTATTTTTATAAAGAATAGTACTAGCCAATCTGCTAAATAACGCTACGCATTAGGAACATGTAATTAAGAATTAAGTAGATGTGAACTTGAATCAGGTAGATTGATTAATTGCAAACCTTATTAAAATGTTGGTTGTTATAAGGGCATTAGAAGAAATACTAAAAATGCACGAATAAAAATATAAAAGCATACATACGCGGGATCATCTTCTATGTTAAAGGCCTTGGCAACAAGTTCGACGTTCATGCCATCAGGTGCTTCGATTCTCCAAATACAGTTAAGGTTTTTGCCGTAGTTGTGTCCGGCGTCGAACCCAGCATGACTGGCAATTTCACCATTATTGTGTGTGAAGTAATCGTTGCTACCACATGTATAAGCTCTTTTTGCTGTGGAAAGACAATTGTGTTTCAATATAATGACAATTCTTTGCGAGAACATCATTAATATTACTGTTTACCTTTCTCAAAATTTTGTTTTATCAGAACAGTGCTGTTACTGATTCAATATAATACTTTTCATTCCTCGTTTTGAAATTAAGACATAACAAGAAATAGTATACTTTTGAAAAAACATAAATTGGTGTCTACTTGTCAGTCGCAGCGGGAATTTTTTTTCAGAATATTGACGGTGGTCCACCAAAGAAAGGCACGCCAGGGTGTAACGATATTTTTATCAAAGCGCTAGGAGTAAGAAATGCTTAACCTCTAAAACAAAGATTTTGCGAATAATTTTGAAAAACTGCGTTATAATATCAGAAACAGTACACTTTACACTCATCAGGTATCATTTTCCAGCAGTCATGTCGGTCCCAATATAGCTTGCGGGCTGTCAATGATCTTGTATACTTTATTATTTTCTTCTTTTTGAAAGAATGTGAAGAAAAAGTTGTCAATCAGTTGTGGTTAAGAAGAAAGTATCAGTGAAAATATGTTTTAAATTGAACCAATCATAAAGTTGATTATATGTAAGACGTCCATTTAGGTCACAAAGCCGATGTATATCTTAATCGTATAATTATCATATTAAATCATATTGAACTTTGTGAATCATTCCTTATCTTTGTACAATTTACTGAAGTTAAAAACTCGTGTTAAAATCAAGTATTTACACACATGATTACGAACACACTTCAAACCTCTTTTGGATAAAATGGCATAGCCATCTTTATGAGCAAATAATGTGCAAGAGAGAGATTCATACATCAGATTTATACGATTCGTTTCGAGAATCAAGTTTTCTGTCTTCTTGTCATATATCTATATCAAAATTATATTTATGCCGCGCAGCAAAGGTCGCTGACATCGAATTGTTTGCCCCATTGTTCGATTCTCACAAAAACTCACGCCCGTTTAACTCACAACGAGTGAAAAATGTCCATCGGTAAAAATGTTGTGAGCAACTTCCGTTCCTCGTTGTGAGCACCCATCTATGACGTGTGAAACGATAAACAAGGTGAGTTTTTCATAATTTTTGAAGATTACAGACATTTATGTAAAAATATCGGAATGCAGTTAGCTAGCGATGTGTTTTCCGAGTATGCACATGTAAAGATATTGCCTGTTGGTGGACAATTTGATGGAAATACCGTGCGACGCAGTCACTCGGGGTAGCTGGAAAACTAGAGACAAATTCTCTTTGGACCTAATTTAACATTGAAAACGTCTATTCTGGTGACGTTTTGTGCATTCTAACCTAAAACAGACGCCCACAAGTCTTCAGCGTAAATTATTACCTGAAAGTCTTCGTAGAAACGGAGATATACCCTTTTTTGCTTTAATCCTCGTTGTGAGCACCATAACCTCGTTGTGAGCAAGACAAGCGAAGTGCTTGTCTGGTTTTAATATGTAATTCAAATGGCGAGAATACAATTTTAAATCTACCAAACGCAATCAAAACGTTTTTGTACAATAGTTTTTCTTTGCAATAGTTCTTCTTTTTTTTTTTTTTTTTTTTTTTTTTTGAAAATTATTCTTCATGTTCATAGACATCAGATAAACAATGGAGCTAAATCAGGTATTTTATTTCTTATACTCTAGTGTGGCACGAGTGAACATCACGGGGAGTTTATGAATATTTCAACAATTTCACAGTCTGTGTGATACACACATACGTGTGTTTATCCTGAGCTGAAGACTGACCAAGGTATATAAAACAAGAACTGTCAAGGTAAGTTGACAATGCCCCTTTGATTTATGGACCAGATAGATTATTTGTTGTTGGACAATTAGATCTTCAATGTGAAGGTCTTTCAAGGTCAATGTGAAATAAATATAGGTCAGTTTGAAAGTCTTGTCCAAAGGGGGCATTGTGTCCAAATATGAATTAATTTTACTTACTAATAAAGAAGTTAATTATGACCAATGTTAAAGATTTTGGATGTTCTAGAATGTTATCCAGGGTACAAGGTAAAAAAAAACAAATCAGTTTGAACGTCTTGTCTAAAGGAGTGTTGTGTCAAAATATGAGTATAATCCGTATACTTATAAGGAAGTAATGACTAATTTTTAAGTTTTTGGACAATTTGACCTTCATGGTGAAGGTCATTCAGGGGTCAAGGTCAAAAGAATATAGGATAGTTGGAAGGCCTTGTCCAAAGAGGTGTTGTGCCTAAACATTATGCCAGGACATTATGGCCAATCTTAAATGTTTTTGGACAATTTGACCTTCAAGGTAAAGGCCATTCAAGGGTCAAGGTAAATTATACAGGTCCGTAGGAATGTCTTGTGCTAAGGGATGTTGTGTTCAAATATGAATCAAATCCGTTTATTAATAAGGAAGTTACGGCCAATGTTAAAGTTTTCGGACGGACTGACAGACGGACAGGTCAAAACTAATATGACTTCCTTTGGGGTATGCACAACGTCTTGCGAAGAAATGCTGCTGTGCAAAAACGTTTTAATTGCTTTGGTAGATTGAACATTACATTTTCACCATCTGAATTACATATTAAAACCATACACGCACTGCGCTTGTCTTGCTCACAACGAGGTTATGGTGCTCACAACGAGGATTAAAGCAAAAAGGGTATATCTCCGTTTCTATGAAAACTTTCAGATAATAATTCACGCTGAAGACTTGTGGGCATCTGTTTTAGGTTAGAATGCACAAAACGTCACCAGAACAACGTTTTCAATGTTAAATTAGGTCCAAAGAGAAGTTGTCTCCAGTTTTCCAGCTACCCCGAGTGACTCCGTCGCACGGTATTTCCATCAAATTGTCCACCAACAGGCAATATCTTTATATGTGCATACTCAGAAAACACATCGCTAGCTAACTGCATTCCGATATTTTTACATAAATGTCTGTAATCTTCAAAAATTATGAAAAACTCACCTTGTTTATCGTTTCACACGTCATAGATGGGTGCTCACAACGAGGAACGGAAGTTGCTCACAACATTTTTACCGATGGACATTTTTCACTCGTTGTGAGTTAAACGGGCGTGAAAACTCTTAACTCTTTCGCACGAAGAAGCTTGTTGGACGACATTCGTAACAAATCACATTTTTAACAGATATTTTGCATAAGTGATTGCATTTGCGAAAAGGGATTTTAGAACCATATACATGTGTATGTAACAAACTTTGCCATGAATATTATTTATTGATTGCCCGTTATCATCATCGTCGTCGATGATACGACATATCGGCTAGCGAATTCGATACAACCGCATATAGATGTTTCCAGTTCGTGGTCTCTGGCGGTAGAAAAGTTATATAATTGTCTTACCCTTGCCTATAATAGTGATTCAAGTTAAGCTAAATTAACTTTTAAAAATGCATTCCTTAGCTCCTAAACCTGGAGAGACGGGTGGCCCGGTTCAACTAAATTCGCATATCACACGGAGTGTCTTTGTTAATGGTAATGTTGCAAGATAGGGGAGTTTTAAGTAACTTATGCGACATAAAGCGGTGAAATATAAACCGGATTTTAACTGTACAGCTGTCCTTGCGCCTTGCAGTAGAGGTTTTGTTAACATCGAAACAATTCCTTCTTCTACTACTATTACTACTACTATCACTTCAATTACCATTACAACTACACAGTTCCTAAATTCCTTTTGCACAAACGATTTCCATAAGTTTTAATTTAATTTTGACTAATAAATATGTGCTTATCAGCTCAGACAAAAAGAAACAAGACAAACAGTTGACAGAAAGATTTAATTAAATATCGGCTGTCTGCATATGATATAATCCAAAGCAAAAGTTCAGACAATGCACAAAGTAGTTATCTCTCTTAAGTACTATCGAGCGACAAATATGATCCTTACTAACAAAGTAATAATTCATTTTTTTGCTCGCAACATTTTTCCTTTTATACCCCGAATCAAAAAGGATCGGCATCGATCACATTCGTAACAAAATATGATACATATGTCTTTTTTTCCGTTACACATTTGAAACAACAGTGTAACAAAGGTGATTCGTTACCAATGTGGTCCAACAAAGCTCTCGAAAGGTCGTTGTGTTTTTAAGTCTTCCCGATCGATTTATGAAATAGTGCACGAATAGCATTTAAGGATTTGTCCTCCTTCACCAAAAAGTTGAAGATTGCCATTTAACTGTATATGCAATAACCATATAACCATAATAATAATAATATCATTGTGTCTTTAGCACCAATAACTAAAAAAAGAAAAACATTACTGATAACAAACAAAATAGACCTCGGCAACTTCATATAAATAATACATATCACTTACTATTTGTTGCATTTGCAGCCGCAATGCCTAACAAAAGGCAAACAAATTTAAACATGGCTGAAATCTTCGTAGAGTACTAATGTGGCCGTTTACTTCGTGACTACTATATGAGTTTATAGTAAACCCTGTATAGATACTAACAGCTGGAGATTTCTCTAAAGGGAATCACTAATGTGGGTCATCGGTCATCAGAATAGTTTTGATAAGCAGCCTTCATTGCGTATATATTGCATATTTACATGTAAGTATAAGGTGACGTATAACTATGTCAATGTCAGAAAATTATAATGTCGAACTGTAAAAAAGTGTCAAATATTTTAAGATACACAACAATGTCAGATTGTAATAATTTTGCTATCTTAAACTGTAAAGGTAATGAAAAACTCAACTTTTTTAATGTGTCTGTTCTTATTCAAAAGGTTAACTTACTACAGTTCAAATGTAATATTTATGCCCTTGATATTACATGTAACCAAAAGAGGGAGATAAATCATAATTTCTTTTCTTTGCTTTTTACTTTAGGACTGTTTCCCTTTGTTATCAATAATATACAAGAAAAGCATTGATGCAAAGCATCAAAGGGCGTCCAAGCAAGAAATGCAGCAAGTGAAGATGAACTAGTACACATATGATGACAAGATATTCTTATAAACTACCAGAAATGTATATCACTTATGAATGAGCGGACGAAAGACATTGTTCATTATGAACTTTGATTGGCATGCTAGAGATTAGAATATTACTTGTTATTTCTTTATGATCGTGGTTATTAATAGCAACGGATATACATGTATGCAATCATTTATAATCCATTTGTGTAACGCATGATCAAAACGTACCACACCTTTGTAATTGTCCCTATCGCTATTAGCGAAGACCCCCTCTTAGGGTATCTGTTCACACTTTGCTATTTTAATACTGAGTTTTTACTACTCTTTTTTTATTAAAATTGTAAAATAAATTTTAAGAATTCAATTGTCATATTGACCGACGATTATAAGTCAAAGCTTAACTGGAAAAAGTCAGTAAATTATGGTTTATCTTTCAATATATAATACTGTTTATTCTTAAACCATGTACATGAACATTTGTATTTTTCTTTATCATTTTTTAAATAATCAATCAATTGAATAATTCATAAAATCTAATTTGTAACTTTGAATAATTCATCGGCATCTTTACTAAACACGGATAACAAATTAAATAAAATGTTTCAAAGTTGATAATGTCATTTTAATACCAGAAAATGTACCTTTTTCTCAATTATTGTACATATCACGGATTTATATTACATATAAATCCGTGTACATATTTATAGTTTTTATCTCATATAGATAAAGTGAATCATGCTATTGTTGTTTTTTTTCTAATTGTAACGATATCAAACATCTACTCCAAAACCGGGAGAGACCGGACAATAAACGTGTGGTACTATTCGCTGGTCACTAGTAAATCCCGGTCAAAATAGACCGGGAGAGACCGGTAATTACCGATAGGAGTGATAAATAGATATATCTATAAATAGATTTTTGGAATATTTAGGTCATCAACTGATCATTCTAGGATACATGTGCAACAATAACATACCATGATAACCCACTGTGTACTACAAAATGATAAATAAAAAACCCCGAAGAGCGCGATTTATTGACGGAAAATGTTATTTCATTTGAAAATGTTTGCATTACGAAATTCTTCAGTTCGCTATTCATTGTAACATATCGCGGCATTTCATTCTTAATTAATAATCAAGCACCCTCATACCGATCGGAATGATCGGCTTTTATTATGACCGACTAAAAGGCTCGAGAAGTTGCTGTCGCCCTTTCACAAAATCTGATTTCATTCCATAAGGGCGCCGCGCTTCAGCGCGGACGCCAATGAATCCTGATAAATTCGCCATTCATTCATATCTTATAATCAAAGTACTTAAAGTACTGACGAATATTGGTTACTTTCACCACAAATTAATACTTTGTAGTTCTCAATTCATTGAAGTTTTCACTCGAATAACTTATTTAACTATTTCAAAGATGTTTTATGTGCTTGGTTCGTTCGCGTCAGAAATAAAATATGAGCTGCGTCACGACAAAACCAACGTAATGCGTTTGCGAGCAGCATGGATCCAGAATAGCCTGCGCATTCGCGCAGTCTGATCAGGATCCATGCTGTCAGCTTGCAGACCCTATAATAAGTAAAGAAACTGATAGCAAACAGCATGGATCCTGATCAGACTGCGCGGATGAGCATGCTGGTCTGGATCCATGCTGGTCGCAAACCCAGTATGTTGGTTTTGTCATGGCGCGGATCATATATTTTCAGAAGATGATTGATATATTTTTGGGTTACTTTTAATACTTTATAATTTTCTTTTGCCACTAGGGCGAAAGAGCTATGACGCATGAATAATGTTAAAAATACAATGTGTGGTATGCATCTTTATTTTATTGTATGTGATGAGCTTCAATGGTAATGCTGGTCTGGATCCATGCTTGTCGCAAACCCATTTTGTTGGTTTTGTCGTGACACGGCTCATATATTATGAATACTGCCGCATTGAAATTTAACGCCAAAAGCATAGATGTTTATAGTATGGCTTATGAAAAGCAAACATGAATTTTGCTTTGAACATTTTTTGTCAGTATGTGCTTCTGCATAGCTTGAATGCCAGCGAACTATACCCACTGCATGAGGTAACGACGGCAACATAAAAATGTCATTTATCCCCTTCCAAAATAACAGAGACACATTTTATAAAATGAAAAATAGAAATTTATTTAATTATTTTCATATGCACCTGACACGAGCTTGCTACCTAAAAGAGGCCAGGAGGTCACTTTATCCGCGAGATAAAGTTTATGCCTATTATCCTACTTTTTCTATTCCAGTTATCTTCGAAAAACGTTTATATCTCGTTACTTCTGCTGCAGTATAGAACAGGTTAAAAATCGATATTAAAACACCTGACGCCTACTTGTTATATCACCCACTTAAAGTTTATAATGTCAATGCCAATAAACATCACATGAATGAAATAAAACGTGCTAACATTTCAAACATTAAGATTATAAGAGTCTCTTTATAGATTCAGTCTATAAGTAAAAAACTTGTCTTTACCTCAGAACTGTTTTTAAGTAAGAACATGCAACACATTTAACTCTTTGCATCCTGGAAAATATTTCGTCTGTTAAAATGTCGTCTGCTTCTTTTATATGTTTTCCTATTCCAAATTTCCTGGTACCTTGCAAGACACATAAATGATCGTCTTCTTGTCTGGTGCTTAGATATTGAGATCGCTCCCGGTAAGCAAAGGAGTAAATCATTGATCATTGACCTCTTCATATTGATTGAGTCTTGAACTGATTATAATAGATCTGAAGCAAATATTTACTTCCACGTGGGTGAACTCTATGATATGGATCTCAAAATTATTCATCTGGAAAAAAGATCTGTGAATTTTTGCTTATCCAGATGTGCACTATAACCACATATCTGAAACAAAATCGAAAGCATGAACCTGGAACATCTAGAGAAAAACATCAGGTAATATTTCTTTTTCCAAAAAGCTTTGAATTTCATAAAAGAAAGTTAAGAAGTTGAAAACTTACTCTGTAAATGACTCACTATCGCTTTCGTCATGTTTCAATCACTCGAAGATGATTTACTTAATTCCGCCTTGAGACGAAAATCTTCTTGAAGGCCTCCTTGCCGGATTAAGGTCTGTCAACTTTTCTGTCAGTTGTTCTTCCTTGCCATTTAACATTGGATAAGTTGGTCCTTGGAAATGATATTTTTCTCTAACGGCAGAATGCCCATCTTCCTCAAAGCTGAATGAATGCTGGCAGGATCATAGCTTTGAGATATACTTTGTAGGAGAGTTATGCCATGTCGTAACGAGCAATATACTTACTCATGTACTTCCGCATAAATACAGCACTTTTTTTGGTAACAATATGTTTTGAAGGTACCCAAAAAAACTTAATCAAATGGTTGCAAGACATGAGAAGAGTTGGTTGGCAGTACAAACAAACAGTACATTTGTCTAATAAACTAATGATAGCGGGACATATGATGCATTGCCAACAAATAAGAGTAAGATGGGATCCTCGTTAGTCCAATCTCTACTAAAAGAAGGTAGGAAATGATCCAGTAAATAAGTTTTTGAACATATCGGTGTTTGGCCAGCCATATGGGGTGTAAAAAAAAGCTTTAATAAGACTCCATCGTGCCAGAAAAAACGTAGAGCCAGTTGTTGCTCAAAGGCTTACTCGTTTTTTGTTATTTTTTTGTTATTTGTTTGTTTTGTTTTTTTTGTTTTTTTCTCTCTTACAAAGATTTGAAATCAGCTTACCAATCAGAAGCTGGAAGTGACGGTAATACAAACTATCCTAGTTTGAGCAATCACAGTATGTACCACAAGGGTCTCTTTTACTTCATATAACAAGAAAGTTATTGAGCCTGTTCGATCTATTGCCTCCCTTAGTCTTGTTTCCAAATTCTGGAAACAAAGTGACCAATAGGTTTGCTGCCATTTCTATTTTCCAACCCTTTTCCTTCACAGCTTAAACAACCATTATTATATTATTTTGATCTTATTGACAGATCTTTTGAATGCTTTGGATTATTTTGTACCAATCGATAGGGTTTGTTCTGAAAACTAAAATTTAAACTTAACTTAGTTTTGTAATCAACATTAAATTATGCGATATTAAGGTGTACTTAGCATGAAATTTTTTTTTCGACAGTTTTCAGAATATGATTAAAATGTGATAATCTATAAATAGAGGATATGGAATAAGTGTAAATCCAATACTGAATTTATTGAACGAGTCGATTAAAAATATGCTTCTGGTGAGCATATTATTTTTCATTCAAGGAGTCAATAGATTTGTAGTGTAACGCTAACATTTAGCGCGTCTTTAAACTATGTTTGTTTAACGCAAATGACGTCACGTCAAAATATTTGCACGGCCGCGCAGTGCTGTTTAAAATTACGGCGTCGCAAAGCTGCAAGGGTATGTGATAAAAATGCATTATATTTGGTTTTGATTGGCTGAGATATGTTTCTTATATTTTTATTGTAGAATGAATATTTTGAACATTAATGCACATATAGAAGCCTAAGACTGTTAATTGATAACCGTATAAAGAATCAATACTTTTTATATTTTGACATTTTAATTTACGGCTGTAGCAATATTTAGATTGATATATTAAGTAGAGCCGGATTCGTATCCGTATTTTATGTAACAATTTATTTATTTTGGCATATTTTACTATACAATTTTTTTTTGGAAATCAAACAAAAACAAACCTGTACTTATGTACTTATTCTGTTTTCTGTATATATGTTATATTTTAGCAAAATATATAGTATAATTCAATATTCTTCATATAAATATATAGTATTAACGCCTACATGAGAATGTCGCCTACGTGAGTACTCCCTCGGTTCCCATTTCTAATCACGTGGAAACAATAAACGTGAATACGATCAGATTTCATGTTAAATTCTACTGAACTTGTCAATGTCAATTTATAATATGCGTACTTTACTAAAATCACCTGAGCGTCAGCCTTAAAATGGAATAAAATTGTCTACTTATATTTATCAACTATTGTCGAACAAGTCATTTTAAGTAAAAGTAAAACAGAATGAGATTTTAAATGCAGGTAACCGAACTGCTGTTGATACAAATACAGGATATTAAATTTCACCGAGTGTCTTTTTTCAAGATATTTCTTTTAAATGTCTTATTTTACCTTTAAGAAATTTAAATTTATTTATTCAATACAAAATAATCATTATAATCAGTTAATTACTTACCCGTACCGCTTTTACGACTCCGTAAAAACGGTATTGCACGACCGGGCAATTGATTTGACCTGACGTCATTTGCGTTATACAAACAGCGCGTAAAGAAGGGCTAAATGTTAGCGTTATGCTATAGGCGCGTCAATGAAAAATGGTTCTTTTTATCATAAACAGTTCTAATTTTGGATTTTTGTTAAATAGAATATAATATTCATGTAGCTCCATTACTAAATTTATTGATCTTGTTGGAAACAAAAATATATTATGCTCGCTAGAGGCTTGTAAGTTATAAATGTATTTAACTCGTTCAATAAATTATGTATTGAACCTGCACACATTCAATATGCTCTATATATCAAATTGCTACTGATAACCATTGAAATACCAAAGAAAATCGTTACTATGTTTACATAAAGGAACATTTCGTAGACGGTAAACGTTTTACTTATCGCCCTTTATGAATAAGCTTGCTAAAATCTACAAGGTGATGTTTATGTTATTAAATGAATAATTAAAAGAATTTGCAAATAAAAGGGGGAAATATATATTCTATAAACTATCTTTATTAATAAAGCTAATGGGTAAAAATATTTGCTTATGTTTTAAAGTATTATGAAGCAGTGCAAAAGTCTGCGAGTTAGAATTTGATACTATTACACCTGGTGCCTACTTGATTTATCACCCTCTTTTAGTTATAATAAATATATTGTGGTATAATGTCATTGCCAAAACAAAACATCTTGTGAATGGAATAAAACGAGCTGATATTTCAGCTGTTTAGACACAAGAATCTGTGTATGGATTCAAACTAATAAATTTATTTTACGAGCAGAATGTTTTAGAACACATTTAACCCTTTGCATGCTCGAAACATATCGTTTGTTAAAATATCGTCTGCTTAATGTATAATGTTTAAATATCCAATGTTCAACAGTTTGGTTCCTGGTTAGAAATGGAGGTATTCGGAGGTATTCGGCCTCTTGTTTGTTACCTTACCATTGTTACTTACTTGCAAAAAATATTGAGGTTTTTTATTTTATGTAACTGGTTTTAAAAAACGATATTTTGTGAAAACAAGACAACGCTAATGTCAAGAAAGAAAAAAACATAAAAGGAATGTTAAAATTTATATATAGAAAAATCTACAAGTAAATTTTTTGGGGGAAAAATTTTCCCAAAAAAGAATTTTTGAAATGAATTTTCTCAAATTTTTGAAAATTTTTAAATATGGTTTTTTTATAAAATTTCCCGTGATAAAAAATTGAAATCAAAAAAAATGAGCAAAGACCCAAACTGAAAATTAAAAATTTAGCTCTAAAAAACGTTCCGCTTTTTTTATCTGACCGTGACCAAATACGAAGTCATATCTGGTTACCTATCACACAGCCAATCATCAGCGAGCTTTCATAATTTTGAAAGCGATGTAATTTCTAATTTTTACCCTGGAAAAACACAATACTGAGTAGGTAATTTGCACGACTTCGAGAACAAACATGGCGTTGCAAATATAGCCGACAGGTAAACTGGCGAAACAATCTTGCCCATTAAAAATTGTAACAGTTTCAAGTTAAATTGTTAAAGATTACTTCAAAAAAATCAATAGTTTGATAACTGTATTTTGATACTTCTTCTAATGCCTATGTAAAAACTGGTTTGATTGCATGGCTAAAAATAGCTTTTTCGGGAAATCAGAATTATAAAGAAGGTGAAACATATAAGGTCATTATCAGATCTACATAAAAAATACGTTGATAGATCAGGTTGAGCATATTATATCTTTCAATTTGGAATGTACTTTATTCAGTTGATTCAGATGGCGAATTTACACACAGACATGCTCTCTCAGTTCTAAACCGACCATCTAAGGGATTTTTAAGCATGACAGGGATAAATATAACAGTTTTGTATAAAAAAGCGGCAAAATACATATTTTTATTCAGATTTTCTTGGTTATTCAAATTTGCTTGAAATAAAATGATTTTCCACTACTTAAAAGTGAAGTTAATAGTGCAAAACAGAACAAAACATTTATATCATTTTGGTTTGGTCATAGCTCTTCGTCACAAATTGGTTACAAAAAATAATCAAATTACAAATGAAACATGCCATACATGTACAAATAATAAAGAATGATAAATAATCAATAAGAAAAAAGAAGCCAATACTTTATACTAAGTATCACAATACAAGTGTCATATTTATTAGAGAGTGACATGATATGATGGAACACACTCGAGTGATTGATTAATTATATTATAACAGCCTCCGGAAAAAGATTGCAAATCCGGAATTTTCGCAAACTCAACTACCCTTTTTAATATAGTTTCAATACAAAAAGTTAAATCAAACAGTGATTTGGATAAAAATAGACGATTATTGACCTTTTATACAAAGATAGCGCAATAATTAAACGCAGGGTGAGCGTTCAAAGTGTGACCTCCCATGGGGTTTTTCAATTCTCCCACGGGGTTTTACGTGTCCCACTGGGACTTTAGTGGGGTTTAAACCCCATTTCTTAAAGTGGGAGAATAAAACCGTGGGAGGAAAAAGAGTTTTTTTCTAAATATTTTTACATGTGTTGAATATATAATACTTATAATAAATTTATAAGTATTCGAGGAATATATTTAAAGAATTTTGCAATTCTCCCATTGGCTGAACTAACCCATTTAGTAAATGGGAGAAATCTCCCAAAATTAAAATGGTGCGGAAATCTCCCAAAATTAAAATGGGAGAAATCTCCCATGACGGCGTACTTGGAGAAATACCCCATTAGAGCGTTATGGGAGAATAACATTATGGGAGAATTCATCTATATCTTTTTCTGTTTTACATATTGGAACGGAAGTTTAACAGTAAAAATTTTTCTACATGTTAATATTGTCAATACGACTGGTAATTGGTTGAGCAACAGGTATGCCGCATCCGTGGGTTGCTAAATGACAACAAATAATATATTTGCATAATGGATTAAGATGAATTTAATTATTGAACGTGCACCTTGATTTTTTGAAATACAAACACATTTTCCGGTACCGATTTGAGACAGTGCATCGTCTAAATTATATTTCATTTTCAACACTCAGATAATTTTGACTGGCACTATCACAACGATTTACTTGTAAAAATAACTAGAGTCTAAGTACGTACGTAGTATTGTAGACGGTGGTTTCAATGTAAAAGCCTTTTTTGAGCCACTTCCTGTGAAAAAAGAAAGAAACTTAAATTTATGAACATTACAATCTTTCAACGATCATATTTATTCATATTTCTGGTGTTTTTTAAATAATTTTGTTGTGCTTATTAAACTTTTAAGGTCATTTCAAGGCAGATAGCTTGATATATCAGTCTTTTTAATTTCATTTTTATATTTTGTGTATGTTTTTGTTTTATTCTTAATCACAATATAGAATTTCATGTTATTCTAATTTTTACATTTTTCATACCCTTTAAATTAAAAGAGAAAGGAAAATTCTTAAAGCATATAGTATGCTGTGTTTTTAGGACATTTGGCATTTGTTTAGAATACACCGCTCATTACCAATTCTTGAAATTTTAGCAAATAACTTCAAAGAGTGTTTCCGTATTCCTCCCCCCCCCCACCAGAAAATTAAGGCCTTATTTGCCGTCATTGCAATACTCTCAAGGAATGTTTGTTATCACATTATATGATCATGTAAAGTTGATATAAATTCTATGAACCATTTTTAATCGTTCTATAAAAAAGTAACAAACGCTTTACTTAAATTGATGTCATCATTTTGAAATACGCACTTATAGTGCTTCTTCTACAGATCAGGCGTCGGTAGAGCAGTTACATTTCTACATAAACGGCATCATGTCTATAACAATTATTTCAAGTTCTTTAAAAAATAAAAACACCTTTCAACACTAAGAATAAATCTCTACCTCCCAAAATGTGTTGCTCTGCAAGGATTGTGCTAATAGCTTTTTTTTTAAAGTTTTTTTTCTATTTAATTAGGATTAATAATAAGTTCTTGCATATCAGACTGGTGTTTTCGTTAGTGTTATCGGAAATGGTTTAATAAATCTGTCAAATGTTGCGGTTTGGATTGGAATATCCGCCCCAAAGGAATCCGCCCATTGGGCGCTAACGAGGCGAATTGTGGCCCATATGCGGGTTTCCGAGGAACGGATATTCCGATCAGAACCGTAAACATACATCAGATATTTTATTGCATACTGTATAAGTGGATATTTATGCGTCACAAGAAATTTGCGAATGTCAAAAAGTGGAATTTTTGCGTGCGGAAATATTTACGAAAATATGATTTCTTGAATTTAATACTGTTTTTTTTTTATACTATCTATTATTAAATAAGTATGTTTATGTTGAGAATATGCCGTTATTGTAATCCTTCTGTTCAGTTGTTTGACAGTTGTTTGATACCTTTATTATTTATATAATTGTTTGAAATATCCATTGTTATTTTGATAAAGGACCTGATCACACATTTCTTTGTCATATTAGGAAACATTCTTTTGTTATTAGAATAACCTATCGTGTTATGAACACAAATAATATTTCATTAAAACATTTGTGATTTGTCAAGACCATACTTAAACAAACAATGAGAACAATAAATCCCAGTACCTGAACAGTCAAATTTATTCATGTAAGATGCTACATGAATATATGATCTCAAATAATAAAAGAAAGTTTGCATAAAAAGAAATAATTTTTGCGTGATCAAATATTTGCGAATAATTTCAATACGCAAACATCGCGAATATTTCCACGTTGCAAAATTAACCACTTATACAGTATTCTACTATATTATATTTTAAATTCTTTACCTCAATAAAACAATTTTCCATGGAAATTCATGTTTTTTTTATCCGTAACTTTTTTCTGACAACAGCGTATATAATCACAACTAAAATTCATAACGCTGAATTAACGTCATCATAGGCACGCATTTTCATTCTCAAATATGCCACAGTGACGTCATTTTTACTCATAAAATGCGCTTTAATGTATCGACTTATCTGGCATCACCTCCCCTAGCCAGATAAAATTTCCGGTATGGGTAGAATTTTAAAAATTTGATTTTGAGTTATGTAGCGGCGGACAATATGGCATATATATGTATCACACACAATTAATAGAGGCGGGGGTATAAAATATTGAACACATTGTTACCTTACCTAACAAACAGTACTGCAGTAGAATTAATACGACCATATAAAATTTGAACAGCATCTTTCTTCTCTGAAAGTGTAATTTTAGCTTATTAATAAGTGGTTGAAATTACATTTTGTCCAATAAAATCGATCAATTTTTTGAAATTCTTCGGTACATTTAGTATAAGTTTAGATTTTGTTAGACAGCACTTATGGAAATAAAACTGCCAAGAGCGACGCATAATTGTTTACAGAAACAAACACTATTCCACTAAGTGGTTGAAATTATGTTTTTAATCTTTACAACGTGCAAAGTGTGATACACTGATTTTACGGGATAGTATTTTAGACAATTTACTGTCGATTAAATGTACCAAAGAATTCGAAAAATGGAATGATCTATTGCACAAAATGTAATTTCAAAATACAATCAATCAACATATCAAAAATATAGGTTAGAATAAGTTAAATCAACATAATTGAAATTAAATTTTTTTCAAGACTGACGAAAATTAACCAATACTTAGTAAACAGTAAATCTACTGTTGGTCATTTTACATGTAGATGCTTCATATTTTATAGGAGAAAATGGAAAATAATCATTGACAAAAATGAACATGATGTTATTTTACCAGACATTTTCCGACCACATTATTAATTATTAAAACATTTCTTTTTACTCACTTTGATAAGCAGCTGTCTGGTTAGGTAATTTGGTCTTAAATGATTATTAATTCATTTTGTCTTATCTAATGTTGTAACGTCAAATCTTATGCGGAAGAGTTGTAGTAGGAAAGTTCAATGATAAGTGTTAATAAAAGGTTAGTGTGACTATATATCAAAGCTTACCAATTTATAAAACTATATTTTAACGCAATGTGTATGAATGATCATATTAAATTAAATTAGGAAGTGTAAGTAAGGTTGGTAGAGATAAAAAGACGCGATGTCATCTTCTGGTTAACGCAAATAAAACCAGTCTGCCCTTTTACGTCTTTTCGAATATTTAATTGCTGTAAATGAAATTATTTAGCATTAAAACATTGACATTTGACATTATTATGCCCTGGTTTATTTTTGAATAGCCTGCTAAGAGGGATTTGTACGGAAGCGTCATGGTGCCAATTTAACATGTTCTATAAAAATCCTACGTAGGAGATAAAAAGCCTAATAAGGACTTCATAACTTCTACGCAGGGCTTTATAACTCCTACGTAGAAGATAAAAAGCCTACTTAGGAGTAGTTAATATCTCCTTTATAAATGTTATAAACTCCTTATTTATCTCCTTTGTAGGAGTTATCATTTTTGATAGAGCATGTTAAATTGGCACCATGGCGCTTCCGTAGATTTCTATTATATGATAAAAGTATAATATACATTTGAATGCATTTTGGAAGTGTAGTTTATAACTATATTCACTAACTTATCTAACTTTATCATGTTAAGTCTTATTTTAAAAGAGCAAATCCTAAAATATGCTAAATAATTTAAATTTGGCTATTTTAGATTAACAATAGCTTTAATAATCCATACAAAAAAGGAAATAGTGAATGGTATGAGTCAATTTAAATTAGCTTCTTTCAAGTTAAAGATCTTTTATCAGTTATAATACATTCAACCATATTTTGGTAAAGGACGTGTTGTTTCTTGGTGTTTTTTTTATTATGATTTTTTTGTTAATTTAAATAGAAAAAAATGGAACATTCCTATGCAAAGTTAGCTTTTAAACTGTTACCATTGAAGTACAACATTTATCAATTCTTTGTCAAAGAGACAAATTATAACGCCTACTTAGAATTTTCCTTGACGTGTTTTATAGATAATAATATTTACAAAAAAACATGAGATATTAAAGGTCATTATCAGACCACAAACAAAAATTTAAAAGAATAAATTGTCTGTTTTAAAGTTGAAAATTCAGTAACATTCGTATCAATATTCTTAGGTTAAATATGTGAACTACTGAATATTATAATTTTATTCACTTTATAATTATTTCTTATACTTATTTCAACATTGAATCAATAGAAATGGTGACATATACTTTCTAAATTCGGCATTATATTCCAATTTCTTGATTATTTATAAAAGTTAAAATAAGAAATCATAAAATGAAATATCATACAATCAAAAATGGTGGCATGCACCAATTTTCAAGAAAACTCACAGCCCTCCACCGGGACATTCTCTTAACGTGGCTTTTATTCGCTATTTTGTCTTTTTACTTTCAAATATTGAACACCAATCTGAAATGTTGGAATGTCTGGAAAATAATAATGACATCTTAAACATATATATCTGAATGGAATCTTTGAAAATTTAAATAACAGGACATTGAAAATTATTCTCAAACTAATTTTAAATGAAACTTATATCATTTGATGAATATGTCTTAAAATTCTGTATGTAAATATACAAAAGTAATGACAAGAAAGCAGGAGAGGTCATGAGAGAAATTTCTCAAACAATGTGATTTATATCAAACAAAATATAAACATAAAAACAGAAATTATTTCATGGCACAGGAAGTGATATTATTATGTCCTATTTTCAGTTAATTGAAATAATATATTTAACTATTTATAACCCGCGGCAAAAGCCTTCAGACGCTGATTAAAGTAAAAAAAAAAAGAAATGACTTATAATCATTAGTATGTTTTCGCCAATCCTTTGTTTTTAATGATTTTGTTTTCTCAACCGATATTTCCTCTTAGTGATTAACGTGAAACAAAGTTTTGTAGTGAAAGATCTTGCTGAGTAAAGTACAATACAACGATGTTTTGAATATGGCTATGCATCATACTATATACTTAAGTAATTAAACAGTGGTTGTTTTAATGCAAAACAAATTTAATTGGTATGGATTTTCATCTATGGTTTTGTGTTTCCGCCCTCACCTACGCTACTACCTACATGAAGTAACGTGTTTACATAATATACAATGTACACTTATTATATGATTATTCCCCTTTTTCAGGGAAAACTTATTACTAATTTCACATGAAATACTCTTGCTGCTATGTTGTTTTTGGGGGGTTTGTTGTTGTTGTTGTTTTTTTCATTCCTCTAAAACATGAAATAGGATATAAGATTAAAATAAAACAAATTAGAGGAAAATCTTGTTTGCGGCTTTACAATTTGAAAACTTATGACATGCCCCAGTCAGAATAGATCATTCTAGGCATCATTGTAATCGTTTATAAACAACAGTCAATGTAGTCATATAGAAACAATTACACAAATGATGGATTCCCGAGAACATGTGCACTTATACAATTTAAAGTGAGTGTAATAGATCAAGGGACTTAAAAATGAACATTAAAAAAGCAACATCACTGCCAAATGAAATAAGTTATTGTGCAATTTACAGAAATTTTCACGTAACATACATTTCAAAAGTCATGCAAATAGCAAAATGTCACTCAACATTTTATTTCTTTAAAAACAAATGAAATAAGTAAGTGTTCATTTTGCAGACAATCGCAAAATGTCACCCACTGTGGCGACACTTGGTATCTTTGGTTAAGAAAAACAAGTAAACTTCAAACAACTTTGAAAGTTTAATATATTTTGATGAGAATGATGATGGTATATGAAAGAAAATATTTGACATTTGATTTCCCAATTTTATACTTCTGTTACGTACGGACAAATCGCCTAAAGGTTTATGAGTGGGTGGTAAGGAACTTCAAAAAACATAAAACAGTTACAGAATATCATCAGTGTCTGTTGACAAAAAAGCAACACAGACATTTGGCATTTTTCACTTGATATCATTTCTACAACACACAATTATATACAGTGGGAAATTTAATATATTTGAAGTAAAGTTTCCTTTTAACATGTAATATCCTTATGAAAATAAAAACAAACATACACTTTTGAAATGCATTTCGTTGAATTGTTGATAAAGTTTTTTTTTTTTCTTGTTATCGATGACTGAGTATGATTTTGAAGATTTTATTTATGCAATATTTGCGGTATATTCTTCATCTTTAAAAACATTTTCTTACAATTCCATCAGCACATCTTGCCTTATTCTACAGTACTTTAGAATTTAGGATAATTTGTTAGCGGTGGCGTTCGAACAAGCATTCGAATCCGTTCCTGGAAAGAACCAGTACTGAGCAATGAGCTCGAGTGTAATGTTTCTTGCTCAAGGAACAACGACTTACCCCTGACGGGGTTTAAACCCGTGTCGAAAGCAATCTAAAATTACAAATCCGGCGCGATGATAATTCGTATCTCAGAATGCTAGAATCAGCTGTTTATTATATATAATTAATAAGAAAATTTACATTTTGTACACAAATTATAATAATTTTGATTTTTTCTGGTCCTTTGGTACCATATATTCCATCACCTATTATAGTTTGGAACAAATTACCTATTACTATAAAACAATGTTCTACTTTACAATCGTTCAAAAACAGCTGTAAAATTTATTTTCTAAGTTTTCAGGTAGATACATCATCATCATCATCATCATGAAAATTGACCACTTTATATTGTAACATTTATAAATGTTGATATCATCATTTTTTTAATCATAACGAGTTTATCTATAATTGCTATGACTAAATGAGTATTAGTCGGAGAGTTTGCAATTTTCATACAATTTTTTTTCCTTTTTCCATATTTTTACACATAATGTTTTTATCGGGTGCCTAATATAAACATTGACAATGAAAATATGTTAAAAAAATAACGGGAGACATCTTGAAAAGATACTCGGCCTTAGTAAACCCGGGTATACTGTTCCTGGCAATTTCTTATCTTTATTGTATTTTTTGTGAAGATTCTTAGTAATGACATAACATTTACTTTCAATATTCATCACTTTTTCTGAAATATGCGCACGGATTACGGGATTGGCAAATTCCTTGAAATGATAAAAAAGAATGAAAAGCTGAAAAATAATTAATCCATTTAATACCTGAAAATGGATAATAGTTAGCCCGTATATTTACCTGATGTCAATGTGAATACAATTAGCCTACGATCGAAACACCGAACATATATAAATAAATAAACATATGTTCAACCTACTGATTTTAATTAAACTGATAAGAATTGTCTTGCAAACTCAAACTATTGCTAAGTCCATATAACTGATGTCATTTTACCAGACTGAGTATAATTACAATTGTATTATATCAACAAAAAATTCTAGAAATCTGTTTGACTGTTATTTCAATACCTAATTTTCATTTCATTTTACTAAGGTAATTGTAATAATTAAAGATATATTTCTTAATAAAATGCAAAATGATTTTATTTGAAGGTCTAATATCAGAAATAATATTACAAATTGAATATCGAACACAAATGAAGCTGCTTTGTTATTGTAAAAAAAAACAGTTTGCGAACAATTTACTGTCATTTTTTATTATCATACGGTGAAACAGAAACATAATAATAGGGGTCCTTAAACAAAAATTCACATTTCATGTTAAAATCTCCTCGATCACAGAATCTAAAAGAAAACACAAGTATTTTTAAACAACATAGTGTTATTGTTAATGATGATCTTAATAATGCGGGTTACATATGTTTCGTCCTAAAACAAAAGTTTTACACTTACGTTCAGAACGTTTAAAAAATATAGTTTAGCATATTGACATTCGCTTTCATATACATGTAATATGTTTGAAATGCATACAGAATTATACAGAATTAAGAAAAATATTAAGCTAGAAATCATCCATATTCCCATCTCTATCCACGCAACACTATTTGTACATTATTTATAATTACTTT